TGTTTTTCAAAAATTATAAACTCAATTTTCCAAAATATCAAAAGAAATTCAAATGTTCAATCTTTTATTTTTTTTCCTGGAACAATAGATAATATTATACAAATGTGCAAAGCTACAACCCCTGGTTGAATAATACAACCAAAAGCTAAATAAACTTGGAGGACATGTCTGAAGACCGCCTATAACCGACACTAGCAAAGCTAGAAACCAAAAAACAAGACTCACGACACGACAGACACAACAAGCACTAATAGAAACTACAAAGCTCCCAACAGAAAAATAGAGAAGATCCCAAAGAGATAATGCCCGCTCTCACTCGGGCTTAACAGAAGCTAAATGCCCAAACAAAAAACACAAACCTACCATACAAAGCAAAAAACAACACAGAAACAAAACAAAAAATGACACGAGCCCTTCCACAGCAGCAATTCCAAGCTGAACAGCAGTCACCAAGTCGACCCAAGCCAAAGCCCTACGCCGAGAAAACCAACCCCGAAACTGCCGAAAACTGCCTAACTGAGTCGTATCCCAAGCACTGGAATGCACCCAAAAGCCGACTCGCTCCACAGCCCAAAAAACACCAAATTTCCCCTCCGAACAACCGCTAAGCCGAATCGGCTAACACCACTAGCCAATTCAACAGCACTAGGCGTCCACCACTGAACCCAACACTAGAGAACAGGGGTTGAAGAAGCAAGAAGGTGCCGCAGCCTCGGCCACTTCGACTCAGAAGCCGCGAGCTGCCTGAGCCACACCCTACCCACCCCACAAAACCGCACCACACCCCGCCCAACTTCCCCACAACACCAATGAAGCATGCCATAGGAAATTTGAGCCGACACCTTCAAGAAGTCGAAATCGACCACAATAGATCCACCACCATCAGGTCTCCAAGGCGAGAAGAGGCGCAACATCGAGAGGAAGATCGAGCGGCCAGGGGGCAAGAGAAGAGTGGATAACTTTAATGTTAAAACAATTTTTTATCCTTAATAGAAAATGATGTCTTCTCCTGTTTTGTTGGGTATGGAATCATATGAAAAACGAAGTATGCATGAGAACATTGCAAAATATAAGTACAAGATAAATTTAGAAATCAATTGCAAAAATATTATTGATATAACTAAAACAACACTATAATTGAATTGATATCTCAATATTAATAATAAATAACTTCGATTTTCTACTCATTTTGTAATAAGCCATATAACAAAAATCATGTATTCAAAGAGTTCAAAAAGATCCTTTGATTTTATCAATAAATGTACCAAACCATTTTTTTTAAAAAAAAAATACCATGTTGCGATTCACAATATCATAACAAATCTCATATAAATTAATAGACTAGAAAAAAGTTAAAATATTTATAATTTTATAAAGTATAAGCAAAAACAGAATAATATTGATGTAATTAAATTTAATAATCATTTTTACTAATACTTTATAAAATTCTATTTTTGCTTATTTAGAAGTCGAAATCGGCCACAATTTTTTAACTTTAGTCTTACTTATTTAGAAGTCGAAATAATGTGTTGTGACAAGGTAGTCTGTGAGTATTATCTATTGTTAATATTTGAATATGTTAAATTTTTATTATTCTTAATTATAATCAGGATTTAAAATGACAACAATTTTATAATGAGTGAAATGAACATATATAATATATTTCAAATTATTTTTTCTTTTTCCGGAACGATAGAGGTAATATATAAGAGCACAAAAGTGCAAAAGGAACAAAGTACAAGACCCCAACAGGGTAATCTAAAGGCCCCAACAGGGTAATGAGACAGGGACCAACGGCCCAAACCAAAAACACACCTAAAAACAAACAGGAATAAAAACCGAGAGGACACGCACAAGGCGGCCTAGAGAACTCCAGAACGAAAATAAAACGAAAATGAAAATCAGAACCACTGCACAATGCCTAGCCTGACTTCATTTCTGAAACAAACCAAAATACGGATACTAGACACAAAACAACACGAACTAGACTACACACCACGATCAAACACAAAGCAAAACAAGAATAGACAAAATAAACACCTTCGAGAGCCCTTCCCACAGCGCAAAGCCACACCGAGTACAACCGTGGCAGAGTCGAGCCCAAAATTCCAAACTAGAAACAGCAGAGACGCCTTACTGAAACGAGGATCCACAAGTTGGCCCAACCCTCGTCCAGAAGAACAGACCCCACTATCACCCAGAGAAATGACATCTGGCCAAACAGAAAGCCTCAGCCCGACGTATACCAACGACTCTGAACCAGAGCAAGCAGCCCAACTCGACAATCGCCGACAACCACACTGCACAACCCCGACCCAACAATCACCGACGACCTCACCATCTACACGCAACACCGTACCTGCAATTGTCGATTCCCCGTGGCTCGAGCAGAGCGGCTCAGCCCGACAACCCGACAATCACTATCAGCCACACCTCCAAATCAAACCAAAAATCGCCGGCGACCACAGAAACGGGGCAGAAGAAGCAATTTGACCGGATCCCATCTCCACCCTAAACCCTAAATCGGAATTTGGGGTCGCAACCCCCTCCAAAAGAGCATCAGAGGGCCACCAAATGGACAAAACCGGAGGAGAAACGACCACCCAAACCTTGATTCCAGCACCAGAGACGGATGCCAGAAGAACAGGGGAAAGGCGTGGTCGTATCCCCGGCGAAAAAGAACCCCCTCCCCCGCGCGACGCTACTTTTGGAAAAGGGTTGCGAGGCTCAGGGGAGCCGCCACCCTGCACTCGTCGCGCCCAACCGGGGAAGGCGACGGCTAATCGACGGAACTCATAGGAGGGATGGAACTGATGGGCACCGAGAGAGGTGGACGGATGTTTGGTATTTTTCTTTTCTCTCTTTTTCTTTTTTCATATATATCAAATTATAATATATCATAAGATAAAATAAATATAATTATTAATATTCAAAACAAATTAATCTATACTAATCAATATTTTTTCATTGTTTTAATATATGCAGTTTATAATTGCACCCCCCTACATAGCACACTGCACCCCCCTACATAGCACGAGCTACGTAGTAATTGAGAAGAGCTTAATTGGATTAAATTTCAGTAGAATTTTTTAGTTAAGTATTATAGAAAAAATTATTCAGTCTGTCAACACTGATTTTTACTGATAGAATCATGCCTTCATATCTTCGTTGTTAATCATTTCAATAAAAAATGACAAATAATTAAGTTTTGGATGAAAAAGATAAATATAATTTCTGAATTAATTCAAGTTAATCCTTTCAATAAAAGTCCTTTTGCCGTAGGAGAGTAGTATTTAATATAGTTTAGAAAATCGAACAGGATCGACCGATCCGACTAGTTGAAATAAACCAATTGCAAGTAAACCAGTCAGAAACCGGTCAGCGACCGGTTGAACCAGTCAAATCCGGTCAAAAACCATCCGGTTTGACCTGTCAGTTCTTTTTGTGAGGCAAATGAAATTTCAGTACATTTATATAGCAATTGATTTACTACTTCAGCCCATGTGGGACAAGCACTTCCACGAGATGAAGATGAAAATGCTATTGAAATGCGTGGATAAATAACTAATGCATGGTATTTATTAAGTCAAAAAACTTGAATATTGATCATGAAAAATAACTGATGCATGGTATTTATTAGGTCAAAAAACTTGAATATTGATCATTTTCTGTTGGAAATAAATGGGCCAATAAATTCAAAATTAATTAATTTTATTATTACAAATATATCACTCAACTTACAATAGCACTCAAGGAAATTTACTTTATCACAACACTTTTCTCACTTATGTACAACACATACAATATCTCACTCACTATTTTATTATTAATCTCTCACAACACTCAAGCACACACTTTTTATTTTTATTTTATTTTTTTTTTATTTTTTGGTACATACACTTTTTATTTTATTGTACACTTACTCTCTTTTTCTTTCTCAACAATCACGCAACACACAAGCACTCTTTACTTTTTCTTGTTTTTATCACTCTGCTCACACACACCACACTTGCTAGATATACCTATATTTATACTAATTAAGAGAAGTGTCTAGTACACATTAAATAATTAAACTCTCACCTAACTGATTGATTATATATTAAATATACTAGATAATTTAAATTAATTATGATAGATATTTTAAGAAGCTTCTTGTATGTCGGTATTGATTTAATCAACACTCCCCCTCAACACCGACATCCTCTTGAGTTATGATTTCTTCTCGAACCATTCCAAGGTGTGTATGAAACTCTTCGAATTTTGAAAAATTGAACCCTTTGGTAAAAACATCAGCTACTTGATCTTCCGTACCAACGTACTTCATCTCTATCTCCCATTTGAGCACTTTTTCTCTAACAAAGTGATAGTGAACTTCGACATGTTATGTTCTCGCGTGGTAAACGGGATTTTCTGCTATGCGTATAGCGGATTGATTATCACAATATAGTTGTACCGCATAGCTAAAGGCTGATGTAGATCTTTTAATAATTGCATAAGCCATGTGCTTTCCTGAGCCACCATTGCTGCTGCTCGGTACTCGGCCTCTGCTGTTGATAGGGACACTGTCGGTTGTCTTTTGCTACACCATGATATTGCAGCCGACCCAAACTTGAACACATACCCAATAGTGGAACTTCTTGTATCACCACATCCGGCATAGTCCGCGTCGCAATAACCAACAATTTATGTCTTTATTCTTTTGATAGAAAAGTCCATAGTCAATTGATCCTTTTATATACATTAGTATGCGCCGGACTAACTCAAGGTGTGGCTTCTTTGGTTTCTCCATGTATCGACTTGCGATCCCTACTGCATATGAAATGTCTGGTCGTGCTAAGGTTAGGTAAATTAGACTTCCGACCAACTGCCTGTACATAGTTGCATCCTCCAAGTCTTTTCCATCTTGAGCACATATCTTGGCATTTGCTTCGATTGGAGCCGATAATGGCTTGCAGTCAATCATGCCAAATTTCTTCAATAGATCTTTAGTATATTTTGACTGACACAATAAAAGACCGTCGCCTTTTTCTTTTAGTTCGGGCCCCAAAAAGTGCTTAAGTTCTCCAAGATCTTTCATTTGGAATCTCACCAATAAATTCCTCCTGGTTTGTTGAATTTCTTCTTCATCGTCTCCAGTGATGTTGACATCACCTACATATACTAGCACTATTGCTAGTTTTCTTTCTCGTTTCTTCACGAAGAGATTCGAGTCTGCTGGTGCAACAAAGTATCCACACTGAATCAAGAATTCAGCGATCTTACCGTACCATGCTCGTGGTGCTTGCTTCAACCCTTATAGGGCCTTCTTTAGTTTGCACACGTAGCTTGGATTCTCCTTATCCTCGAACCCCGCAGGTTAGACCATGTATAATTTTTTGTCGAGCTCTGCATGTAGAAATGCATTCTTCACGTCCATCGGCCATAATTTCCAGGACTTGCTTGCTGCCAGTGCAATAAGTACTCGAACTATTGTGATTTTTGCAACTGGGCTAAATGTCTCGTCGTAGTCTAACCCGTACTGTTGTGAGAATCCACGTGCAACAAGCCGAGCTTTATATCTTTCAATTGATCCGTCAGGCCGCCTTTTTATTTTATAAACCCATTTACAAGATATGGGTTTAACTCCATCAAGTTTGGGTACTAAGTCCCATGTTTCATTTTGCCTTAGAGCTATTATCTCCCCATTCATTGCTTTTATCCATTCTTTATGTTTAATTGCTTCCTCAAATATTTGTGGCTCCTTTATACTTGTATCTTCTTCTAAGGCTATATTGGCGTACCTGGGATTTGGCCTCTTTTGTCTGGAAGATCTCCGTAGTTGTTGTGGACTTGTCGGTACTTCACATGTTTCCATTCCTAGTGGCTCAGTCTCCTCGAGTTGAATTGGCCTCATCACTTCTGGAGTTACTTCATGTACACCTGTTTGCCACGGACATTGAGCTGTTCTGGTGACTCTCCTTCCTCGTCTAATTCTTCCATTCTTTGAGTTGCTTCTGGAAGTTTCACCCATTTCTGGAGCTTATCCTCGATTTCTTTTGAATCTGGTAGCTCTGACTTCTGCGGTGTCCACCAAGAAGATGCTTTCATCAAATATCACGTTGCGTGATGTGTAATACCGACCAGTTGATGGATCGCAACATCTCCACCCTTTTCTTTGGCTGTCATATCCCAAGAATATGCATCTGATTGCCTTCTTGTCAAATTTGCTCCGTAAATGACTTTGTACAAACACGTAACAGACGCACCCGAAAACTCTGAAGTGGCTAACAGTTGGTTTGATTTTCCATAGCTTTTCGAATGGTGACGTGAATCCCAGCTTTGCTTGTGGTAGCCGATTTATTACGTGGGCCGCTGTCTTCATACATTCTGCCCAGAACCTCGCCGGCACGTTCTTTGCATGTATCATGCTTCGAACGTTCCTGCCAGGTGCCGATTTTTCCTTTCTGTTATGCCATTTTGCTGAGGTGTGTTTGGACACGTCAGCTGATGGTGTATCTTATGCTCCTTCAAAAATTGGGAGAATTCTCTTGATGTGTATTCTCCCCCGTTATCCATGCGAAGGCACTGGATCTTATCTTCGACTTCTCTTTCAACAGATTCTTTGAAATCTTTCAACTTTGTGAATGCTTCTGATTTTTCTTTAATACAGAATACCCAAACATACCTTGAGAAGTCGTCGATAAAAGTCACCATATAGCTCATACCGCTGATCGAAGGTTGTTTAACTGGCCCAAATATGTCAGAGTGAATTGTCTCTAAAGGCTTTTTTGCTCTGTAGCTTGAATCTTCAAATGGTAGTTGATGTGCTTTACCATATTGACAGCCAGCGCATATTGTGTTATCTCTTATTTCCAGTTAAGGGAGACCCTTCAACATTGATTTCTTCATCATCACTTTAAGCTTGTGATAACTCACATGTCCCAGCATCGCATGCCATAAGTCAGTTGTTTCATTCTTTCGAGTCTTATCTACATAAGCAAACTCTACTAACATTACGTAGATGGACTTGAGCTTTCGACCCTCCATGATTGGTGTACCGATAATTTTGAGATTTTCGTACACCTTAACATTATTGGGTCCAAAAATAACACAATTCCCCGAAGTTGTCAGTTGTGATACAGATAGAAGATTTTTCTTCATACCTGGGACATGATAGACGTCCTGCAGTTGCACTTGTCCAGGACTAAATCGTGGAGTGATGATCGTCTTGCCAATATGGGCTATTGGCAACCTTGAATTGTTAGCAGTGACCACCATCCTGCCTCAGTTGTATTCACTTGTGTTCTGCAACTTTTCTTTGTCTCATGTCATATGATTGGAGCATCCCGAGTCCACGATCCAATCATTCTCATAATCTATTCGTCTAGGGACAACGACAGCAAATGTCGTCTCTTCGTTTAAGCTTGATTGCTCTTCTTTACGGGCATCCTCAGATATAGTTGGGACGATCTCCTCGACTATCGCCATGGATGCCTCTATGTCCCACTCTTCTTCGCTATTATTAGTCTCCTGGTTGTTTGACGTTGCTATATTCCCTTCAGCAACCTTTTTCCTATGCCAGCAGTCTTTGGCATAGTGATTCAGCTTGCCACATACGTAGCACGGGCCCATTTTATTCCCCTTGGACGTCTGATATTTCTTATAACGTTCTTGTCAGATTCCCTTTGTTTTAGAGCTTCTTTCTTCCTTTTTAATATATTCCTTTTTGTCTCTTTTATTTTGTTGGCGTGGTCTCATATTCTTTTTATAACTAAATAAGGCTTCATCTTCTTTCTTTAATGAGACTTCCGCCATTTGTCTGGTCAGCGCTTCTTGGTTGGCTAAAATATTTTCAAGATTTACCAAAGAAGGCTGCTCAGACCAACCTTGTATAGCGGCTATAATCCCCCTAAATTCGGGTCTTAAGCCATGAATGATAATTCTTCTCATCTTAGCTTCTGAAACATTATCAGTGGGGTCCAATTCAGAGATTTCGCGACAAAGAGTTCGTACCTTGTTAAAGTAGTCGCGAATCGTCACCTCCCCTTGTTTGAGTGACAGGAGCTCGTTCTCGAGAAGTTGCAGCTTAAACTCATTCTTTTTGGAAAACAATACTCCCAGAGTGTCCCACGCTTGTTTTAGAGTTCTTGCGTCCCGTATGTGTTCCAGCAGCTCTTTGTCAATAGTCGTCTTGAGTGCGTACATGGCCTTTCCCGCCTTTATCTTCCATTTACGTAAGGCCCCAGCTTCTTCGTGTGGTGTAGCCTATTCTCCGCCAACAATTTCCCATAGATCTTGGCCTTGGAGATACGACTCCATGCATGTCCTCCATGTAGTGTAATTTTAATTATTGAGTTTCTCCATTCCGCCTACTGATTGTAGATCCGCCATCGTGACTTGGACTACCTCCTCGTAACCAAGCAAGCCTCACGCGCTTCATAATTTTTTTTTTTAATTGTGCACGATGTCATTGAACTCAATAATCTCCCCTTGTTGACGACAAGTGATGGGCCCTGAATAAATTAGCACGAGCTTGAACTTTCCGGACGTGGCTCTGATACCACGTGTTGGAAATAAATGGGCCAATAAACTCAAAATTAATTAATTTTATTATTACAAATATATCACTCAACTTACAATAGCACTCAAGGAAATTTACTTTATCAAAATACTTTTCTCACTTATGTACAATACATACATTATCTCACTCACTATTTTATTATTAATCTCTCACAACACTCAAGCACACACTTTTTATTTGGGTAAATTGCACCAAACCCCCCTGTAATATACTAAATCTGCGCGTTTTCCCCCTGTATTTTAAAAATTGCGCCATACCCCCTTGTAATATACTTTTGCATGCACACTCTCCCTGCTACGTTAACGCCGTTACAAATCCCCCTGACGGCGTTACTTTTTGTTCAATTTATCATTATAAAATTCCTTTATCCAAGAATTTACGATTATGCCATCCAAGAATTTACGATTATGCCATCCAAGAATTTTATATAATATTATATATAATATAATATTATTTATATATTATATGTAACAGTTATTATAAATTTTATATATAATATATTATATATTATATATATAATATAAAATATATATATTTAATAATCGTAATATATATATTATATTATAAATATAATAAATATGTTATTTATATATTATATGTAACATATATATATTATATTATAAATATAATAAATATATTATTTATATATTATATGTAACATATATATATTAATCGTAATATATATTATTTTATGTAACAGTTATTATTTTATATATAAATATATTTTATATTATTTATATATAAATATATAAAATATAAAATATATTTTATATATTATTTATATATTATCGTAATATAAAATATACGTAATATAATATAAAATATAAAATATTATATGTAACAGTTATTATAAAATATATTTTATATATAAATATAAAATATATATTATATTATATTATACGTATTTTAATCGTAATATATATTACATATATATTAATCGTAATATAAAATATATTTTATATATAAATATAAAATATATATATATAATAATCTTAATATATATATATTATTTATATATTATATGTAACAATTATTATTTATATATTATATATTATTTATAATATTACATAATATATTTATATATATTATATATAATATAATATTATATATATTACAAACTATAATATATTATATATTATATATATATATATATTATAATATATATATATATGATAACCGTAATATATATATTATATTATAAATATATATTATATTATAAATATAATAAATATATTATATATATTATATTTATCATTATTATATAATATTATTTATATTATATACAATATATATATATATAACAGATATTATAATATATATATAATATTATATATATATATTATATAATATTATAAATAATATAATATTATATATATTACATGTAACAGTTATTATATATTTTATACTATTATATATAATATTATATAATATATATAAAGCAGTAATTTAGGGTGAAGCAATAATATATATAAAGCAAACCACTGCCATCATTATAATTACTTTAGGGGGGTAAAGCAGTAATTTCAGGCACTTTAGGGTGAAAAAATGAAGAAAAAATCGCACAGCACGCGCGTGCAAACCACTGCCGTCATTTTTGACGGTTTAGGGGGTTTCGCGCAT